TGGCATTAATCATCATTAGGATTAGTCAAACTCCAGAAAATCAACCATGTCTTAGGATCAATCTGATCGATCCTGCTAGTCACCAAATAAGTAACCTTTAGGAAGATCAGCGGTTGTTTACCAATTTCCACGGTAAACAACCATACAATCCTAGTTACTAGCACAATAACATAACTATAATGAAAAGCAGTAAAGTGTGGGAATTAAAATCTACGCTATTACAATACTTCAGGGATGGGGATTACAAACCATAAAAATAGGGGAAAACAGTAAACCCTAGTTTATCTATTACAACCTTTTAGCAGTTACAATATTTAGTAAAAACTCGCGTAAAATTTAAATCTAAAACTATTACAACTTGACATGAAGCTTATACATTCAATCTAGGAAATTTAAATAGCGAAGAAAATAAGTATTAAGAAAGATATTTTTTAAAGAAATCTAAAAAAACTAATTTGATATTTTTGGTATTTTTGTTAAATGATTAACCTAATTTTAAATTAAATTATAAATTATTAAATAAAATAAAACCTAAGTCTAAAATGAATTAAAAAATTTAATTGATAAAAAACATTTTTTTATGAAATATTCTCATTAAATTGATTAATTAGGAAAAAAAAGTTAATTATGTCTAAAAAAAATAGAATTTGAAATAAAATAAATAAAAAAAGAAAGGTGGGCCTGAAAGTAAATCTGAGGGGTGCAAGGGAAGTAGATCTGTGAGGCCTAAAACAAACAGTCGAGCTGCTGTATTGATCCATTGTGGTTGGCCATTAAGGGTTCATCATAGGCGCGTGGATCTGGAGCATTGGATCAGGATCTGTTGAGATCCAAGAATGATGATGAGAGGGTGCATGTTGGACTTGCAAAGGCTTGGCACGCTGGATCTGCAAACAAGAAATATGAGAAAAATAACATACCAGGGGCAGAGATCGAACCCATGCTCTGGTACACTAAGACCCTTATAAATGCACGCTTACCGCTAGGGCAGCCATTACTTACGTTCATATAAACACAAATAATTAAAAATATAATAAAAATAATTTAAAATTTTAATTTTAAAACAAAGTAAAAACATGTGGGCCCCTGTATCCAGTATTAGCCAATCAAAAGTGGAGAGAGGGTGCCAGGGTTTTTGACTGGCTAATCAGATTGTTTGAACATGCCACTCCTGCCTCCGTCCAGTCAATGCCACTGTGGGTGGATGAAACAACCGTCTTCTCTGACTTTTTTTGGTGTTTTTGCAAACTTTGTTCTTGCTCTCCAACTGATCTCTAACCCTTCTTTTGGTCTGCACACGACCCTTATGTATTGTACAATGCATTAGGGTAAAAAACTCTGTCCAAATCTTCCTCTTTTAATCACTTTGATATTTGATTTGATTCTCCATTAAAGCATTCCAAAATTGGCTCATTTGCAATCTTTTTGTACCCACATGGCTTGATACGAGTTTCATTACCTTGCTAGCTGTAATTAGAGCCTGAAACAAATCAAAAGATCCTTGGTTTTCAATATTTGTGATTTTATTTGATTTGTTTTGATTTAATTCAAATTAATTCAAATAAAAATAAAAATAATTAATAAAAATATGATATGGACACGTGGGCAAGGCTAGAGAACGTTGACCATAATGCCAACTCAAAACAAGTGAAAAAGAATGGGCCCATTTGACAAAATTTGAGTTTTGGGGATAGTTGACTTTTGGCAATTTTGCAAAAAAATCCAACTTCAACAAAGCATAACTTCCTCAATTTTGACTCTTTGGAGGTGTTCTTGGACTTTTTAGAAATATTGATATGTCCTCTAATCAACCCTTTTTGTCTCATATCATTTTGATATTCCATGCTCAAGTTAGAAGCTTTGACAAAAAAGGTGTTTTTGTTGACTTTTCAAAATGACCTATAATGTCCAAATTCATAACTTCTTGTGAGTGCATTTTTTGATCTTGGGATATGAAGATGGATTGTAAGGAATTGCATCATATTCAAAATTAGCTTTGGATGAGTCATTTCTCATAAAGTATGAGAAAGTTATGTTTGTTCAAAGTTGAGTTGACTTTTCTTGCAAAACCCTAATTTAGCAACTTTTGAATCTTGATGAATTGTGAACAATCCTTGATGAATCATGATCAACCCTTGATCAAATGATGAAATATACTTCAAAATGAGAATGTTGACAAAAAATCCTGAAGTTTGACTGTTTGTAGGTCACAGTTGACTTTTTCCCTAGAACAATCGACTTTTGGACCTTTGAGCAATTGACTGAGCCAACTTCCTCTGCAAGGCTTGAAACTTGACATGGATGATCTTGAGAATATATTAGGTCATTGGTGAGAACTTGGGGTCACTTGGACTCAAGAATCTTGATGCAACACAAAACCCTAATTTGGGAAAGATTGCCTTAGGAGAGAGCTTGTCTGACCAACTCTTGGGCTATCTTGAGCAACTTGGAGATCTTTCTTGAAATGTTTTGAGAAATATGAGAGGACAAATTTTGGGGTACAACAATACTATTTGGAAGCCTGTTATTTCCTGAAAGTACATGGAATAGTGTAAATTTTATGTATTTAAGTTTGCTTAAGAAATTTGATAAAACAAGAAAGTATAGTTGGGATTTCGCTGTTTTAGCCCAACTATACAGTTCATTATGTAAAAACGCAACAAACGACAAATATACTTTTTTGGATGCGCTTTCTTGCTCCAAGTATGGTTGATGGGGAATGGAGTCCCTAAACCCCGTCAACAACAATGCATTCATTTTCCCTTACATAACAAAGTAAGTTAATAGATTAAATAATATATTGTTCATCCTTTCACCAAATAGATGTATAAAATTATTTTTTTCTTCATTCCTTTAGGCACTTTGTAAGGGGTATGGATTACATCAAGAATCCAAGATTCAATTCCGCTCTATACCATAATCTTTTGAATCACATTGGCTTGAATAATGTATGTGGTACCTCTAAATTTTTCTACTTTTAAATTATTTATTTTTAACGTTTTCATTATTCTGATTAATTTTTATCCATATTTTATCTGGAGACCATATTTGGGTTTGGGCCATGAACCCAACCCCGAAGATGCAATAGTTTGGACTGCAAAGACTGCAATAATACAGTTCAACATTATGGAGATGCACCACAACGACCGTGTCAAGATGCAGTTTGGAATACATCAAGAAATACCATGCAATCCAACTTCTTTGTTACCTTGGCATCTCAAAAGGGTCGACACCCAATGGGGTGATAATAATTGGCAAGATTTCGCTCCAGAATGGTGTAAGATGTGGCGTAGGCATCACCAATATGTCTTACAATTTCTTGTTTTCCATAACCAGATTAATATGTGACACACAGATCAGTATATTGATTGGTACATATCAGTTACTAATCTTGAAATGCACGTGTCTCACCCGAGGTATTTGATCGATCCACGCATATAACAGGCACAATCATACATCACACAACAACAACCCCAACAACAAACCCAAGACATATCAACCTCCCACCAAACATAATGATGATACAGATCCACTAACATCCAACCCCAAATACAAGACCAATAGCAATACACACATGCCCCCCCACAATCACAATACCAAGAACAACAACCATACACCCGACATCCTGATGTGGGCCCCTCGTCGTCTCACATTAGCCCAAACATTGACCAACCTGAAGAATATTCACCAACCAACCCAACTTACCATCAACCATCTTATCACCACAACACCCAACAATCACAGTACCAAACCCCACAAGATTCATTTCCTTTTTACCCTCCTTATTCAGACGACCAGTGCTATCGAACCCCCATAAAACATCACCCTCAACCAATACGACCAAACTTTGAGGGCATGGGTAACCGACTTTTTGAAATCAGATCTTCCAGATATGATGATCTGACGACTTTCATGGATGTTGAACGCATTGACTTCGTAGGGCCCTCGACCCAACCGCAATAGGAAATACGTCGAAATACACCACGAGTTAGGCGAGGACGCGGGTGTGGAACTACGAGTCGTTATCGAGCCCCTGGAGATAACTAAATAATGTGTAATTTTTATTCTCGTTATGTAATCATTTAATTATTATTGAAAATCAACTTTTATTTACAACGACATTGCCTTTTAATTCTTTAACAAAAAAACTAAAAAAAACTTTGTACCTAGGCGCCATCTGAAATGGCTTAGGACAAATGACATATACCTAGACGTCTCCTTTAAAAAAACTAATACATGCACCATCTGAGATAGCTACTGCATTATAACATTTTCTGAAACATAATTATTTACATAATTTTTTTCGAAACATAATTATTTGTGTATTTTTTTTCAAAACATAATTATTTATATATTTTTTTGACACCTTAGCAAGAGTGTTACAACTATTAATAATGAAAACTATTAATAAAGAAAAATGACTAAATGTGGAATAAATCATGACTTTTGATATAATGAAAGTTGTAACACATATTAGCACTATACAAGTATAGAAATTAACTTTTATTTTAAAGGTGCCACATTGAATTTTTTTCTACATGTCAATATTTAAAGATTTGATATTCATTTTGGTATAGTATGTTTGCATTGGGGTTGATTTTTGTTTCTTTTATCTTAAAAAATCTCGATATGAATATGGATTTTTATAAACATATTTTATAAACATATTTTATAAACATGTGGCAGCCTTTAAATTACTCAACTATTTTTGAAGGGTACTGAAGTAGTTCCCTCTAATAAAGAAGAAGACAAGAATACATAAAACTCCAAAATAGGCTTCAAGAGAGACATTGCACATGACCCTCTCACGCCTAATACACTTTCTCTGCATGCAACCAACCATATATCATGTGATTAATATTCACATGGTTTATATATTTTCAATCTCAATGTCATTTCCACCATATATATGTATAACATCAAATTATAAAAAATACTTCTATCATATAAGTATCTGATTTCTCATTATTTAATTGAATGTTCAAGGAGTTTAAGTGAAAATGTACAAGGCCAAGTTGCAGGAGATGTGTCAACGGAGACGGTGGAGTTTGCCAAAGTACTCCGCCACGAGTGACGGTCCACCACACATGCCAAACTTTAAGGCGTCTGTCTTTGTAAATGGCATTACATTTTCTTCTTACCATACTTTCCGTTCCTCCAAACAAGCTTACAACCAAGCTGCTATGAATGCTTTCCTCAAGCTTTCTTCTCCTTCGGGTACTCTACTTCTTTTTCTTTCTCTTTCTGGTGCTAAAATCTTTTTTTAATCTTTCCTAGAATATGATAATGATGATGGTTTTGTATTTTGAAAATGAGTTTTCTGTTTGAGTTCTTAATTTTTTTTACAAGGAACTTCTTAAAATAGAAACATATATAGAGTTCAAAGAAGCACTTTTTATTATAACAATTTATTCCTTTTTCTTAGATTTGATCACTTTATATTGAGTAATTATTATGATAAAAGTTCTTAGAATTTGTCAACTGTTTGACCATTGGAGGTTTCCTTTTTTTTTTCTTTTTCATAATAGACAAACTAGAATCATATCATGGAATTAAGTAGAATTTTCTATAATTTAGAATCACTTTATAAAACCATTTTTTTAGAAACTTTTCTTGTACATTTTCCCTTTTACTATTATCCCTTGAAATGACTAAAGGATAAGGAAAAAAATGTGATGATAGAAATTAGTAAGCTACATCAAATTCATAGGTTGCATATTATTTTACTCTAATGTTTATGTTTCATGACATGCATAGGCTCTTCAATACCAACAAACAAATATGGTTCAAAAGAGGAAGTTGAAGCTGCCAAACCCAAACCTCAGGAGAGTCCAGTTCCACCACAATCTCCAGATAGAATATATGGTAAAATTTTATTTCCAATTGTCTTACTTTTTTATAATTGCTTGTTTGAATAACACATCGAATTCTAGTTCTACAAGTTGAAACAAAAGGTTTTCAAGAAAGAAGAAGAGAGAGAAGAGAGAACTATATTGAAAACTGTTATTCCTGTTACGAGAGAGTAATGTCAAATTACAATATACAATACTTTTTATATAGGCTATTAATGTCCTTTGATAGTTTTCATTCTATTGTTCTATTTCAACATATCTAACAACAATAATCAACTAATTCTTCCAAATACAGATCATTTGAGCAAACTTCCGCCACAAAACTATGCTCGAAAGAACAATCTCGGTCAACCTGTTTTTACAATTAAAACCGAAGGGCCGTCTTATGACACTCGCTATAAGGCCACTGTTGTTATTGATGGGAAATCATTTGAAAGCCCTACATTTTTCAACACCATAAAAGAAGCAGAACAAGCTGCAATAAATATTGCTCACATGTTTCAACAGGTTAATGTGATTCTAAATTAACATTTAATTTGCATAAGAAATAGTTATGATTGAATTTTGATTTGTATCCTACTTATTCAGGGTGATACTTCTTCATCCAAGAGTAAACTTCTGGAATTAACACAGAAAGAAGGTTTTTCTAAACCAACATATAAATTTACACGGATTGGTCCTCCTCATATACCAACTTTTTTCTCAACTGTCACAGTAGAGGGCTTGGAGTTTCATGGAAAAGCATCTAGCTCTAAAAAACAGGCAGAACATGATGCTGCAAAAGTTGCTTACACTGCATTAAAAGAGAGTAAGCTCATTCACTCTATTTTTCTTTCATGCATAAGAGTTATAATTTGTAAAAATAAAATCAAAGATATGTGTCAGTTTCGGACATCAGACACAATTTTAATCCGAAGCGTTTGTGATTATGATTCGACAAAATTGATGTCTTGCATAGGTGGACTTCATATGTATGCTGCTTTTGCTTCCTCAATCAAAGAAAATGAAGCAGTAAAATCAACTGATGAATTAGACACTGTTAATGTTAAGTCCAAACAAAAACTAAACCTTGAAGGTATGTTATCTTATACCAATAATATTTTTTTCAAGTATCATGAAACTAGTATAGTTTTTTCAAAGGTGTAATATAGTAATCATTGAACATGTTAATCTTCTATCAGATCAAGTTTTGGATCAAGAGATCTTACCTACTAATGTCAATGTTAATCACAATGATACACCCAATGAATCTTCTCCATTGCCCCCGAAGAAAAAAATGAAGATAAGCAATATGAGTGATACGAATTTGGCCCGTTCTAAAAGGTCAATTAAGAAGCCTAGCTACCTGAAGGACTATCATACAAGCTCAAAACCTATCAACCCATGAAACTTCTATAATCTTCCATTATTTGATGTATATTTACTCTCCAAAACTCTATACGACTAAGTGTTGATCAGAATATTTCGTAGGTTTTGTTTTAATTTTAAAAATATGATATTTCATACAAATAATAATATATTTATTAATTTTAATATTTATTTTAAGAATAAAAATTTAATAATATATATTTTATAAAGTAATATTCTTCTATATATATTTTATTATAAAAACATCACAAAAATTGAATTGATCCTATGAAATACCTTAAAATATTTAATAATAATATTTGTTAAAAATATCGTTACTCAAAATGTTTATAAAAAAAATTAGACTAAAATTAAAAATGTAGATCTAAAGATAGACAAATATTTGTTGTCCTAACCTTTATTAAAAATACACAAAAATTATATGTTGAGTTTGACTAAGACTTTGCTTGTTATAGATTGAAAAATTATTGTATTTTAAAAACAAATTTTATGAGAATTTTTTTTAAAAATATTAGAAGTAATTTTCAATTATTTTTTATAAATTAAAAGAATAATTTAGACATTTAATTATTTAAATATTTATCATTAAAGATTTTAATATAATAAAAATCATATAAAAAATGACATATCTCAAATATAATCTTATAACAGAATATTAAAATACTTAAAATAATAGTAAAAAAATTAAAATAAGTTAAACTTTGTTTATTATATGATCTTAAGTTTTTAAAAATAACATTAAATAATTTATAAAAAAATCTAAATTGGTAAGTAGTTTAATTTGTGATTTTAAAATGAAATAAGTCTTGAAGCCTTTTATAGGATTAACTTTGTTTTATAACATTTAAATTGTGTCAAAAATCATACTCAAGAATCAAACCGAAGAAGTAGGGGTGTACATGGATCGGTTTAGGTTGAATTTAGTCAAAATCATAACTCAACCCGTGTGTCGTACACCGGTTTAAGTGAGATAAAATAACCATCCACGATGTTATTGGGTCGGATTGGATAAAATTATAAATTTGTGGGTTGGACTGAGTTGGGTAGTGGATTATTCAATTTTTTTTTTATTAATTATGTGTCACATTTTTTCTTAATAAATAGTTTAAAATATTACCACTATTTTTTTAAACATCAAATATCTAAATGCGTGATAAAATTCATCAAAAACATATTTACATAAACAAAAGTTACATTATAGTAATACCTAGAATTAAATAAAATACTTGCAACTTACAAGAATTCACATCAAAATAATCAAAGTGCGACATCTTAAATAAATTAAAATCATTACTTACAAAATAAAAGATGTTCAAAAGGTTGAAATTGAAGCAACCAAAATTAAAAACATCAATGTCATCACTTATCACATTATAAAAAAAAAGTAAAAAAATAGTAACTCAATAACCCATGGTGTGATGCGGTGGGAGAACTGACTTGAAGGTTTTACGTTTTATCGTAAATGTCACGGTTAGCAAGACTCGCCACCGAATTTTCTTTTATCCAAAAGGAAAGGTAAAAAAGCACACGAAAGACCTTTGAGATGTTTTCTTGAGTTCGGGGGGTAGATTATGAAAAGGGAAGGTGCTAGCACCCTTTTCATCCATGGTTTTCCATGGGCTCTTAGTTACTTGCTTAGATCACTTGCTTTGGTTTGTTCGAAATGGTGTTTGATGTGATTTTTGAAAGTATTTTGAAAAAGAGGCCATTTGTTTAGGCAATCTTTGTAATGATTCTCGTTCGTAAGAATGTATACAAAGATGTTTGTCTTTTGAAAATGTTTTCAATTGTTTGTAAGATGTTTTGAAATGTGTGTGTGTGTTTGTTTTTGAAAATAGCAAGGATTGTTGTTTGAAATGGAGCAAGTAACTTAGAAGTTATCTACCTACTCAAATGTCTTTCTTGTGTATTTTATATTCCTTTGACATTGTTGACTTACCATTGATTTGGTAAGCAACCCTATCTTTGGATGTAAACGGGACGGGCGTGGGTCATCGTATAACCATGATAGCAATGTTGCCAAGTATCTTAGCATTTTTGAGGGACCAAGATCATTTTGTTTAGGCAACTTTTTGGATAGCGTCATCGAGAGACTATGATCTTATATTTGTTTTGTTTTGCCAAGATACTTCGCGTGTGTAACATGGTCATTTTATTTTAGGCAACCAAGTGGGAGAAACCCTAAGGGTGCTTGTGTGCAAAGTGTATCATTTTCATGCTTTTGATTTTGTCTTGTATTTAAGATTTTCTATTTTGCTTTATTTTGTTCTTGTCATGCAAACCTTAATTACTAATCATGGTATATAAAGCGATAAATTACGTAATGTAAATATACTAAGCTATTACAACAATTTTTATGGGAGGGGGGAATACAAGTTTGAATGGGGATTTGCACAAATATAAAGCTAAATATATTATTACAACCAAATCGAACTTGCGCGAATTAAATAAATATAATACAAATATTTAAAATGCAATATAATGTTCATGTTAGAAAAAATATTTTATGTCTTGCTTTTTTGTGTAAAAGAATATTTAACTTAAACCTAAAAATAAGGAAAAATAATTAATTCTTTTTGAAAGGGATGAAACCCTAATTTTCAATTAAAAGAAAATAAATGTTTCATATTATTATTTTGTGTATTTTTTGTATAAAAAATAATAAATAATATTGTATATGAATATTAAAAAATAAATATGTGCAAAAATTGGTATTTGTAAGTATAAAATGTAAAATGAGAAATAATAAGTATATTTAATTATTTATAAGTTTATTAAGAAAATCAATTATATTTATCAAAATAAATGAATTTTTATGTGTGAAAATAATAAAAAAATAAAATAAAAGGGTGAAAATAAATAAATCATTTTTTAGTATTTTTTATCATTTAGAAAAATAAATAAAAGTATTAAATAAAAAAATATGAAAAAATATAAAAATATAAAATAGTTAGCCATGGGGGGTGCAATAGCAAGTCAGGGGGGTGTTTAGCAAAAACAAAAAAGGTCCAAGCAACAAAAAGTCCAGAACCAGACTTCATCCCTGTCCTTCGTTCTCTTCTTCATGCTTCTGCTAGTCAACTTGTAACTTCCTCATGCTTGCATAACAATGAAAACTCATAACATGAAAAATGTGGCATTTGAGCTCACAATTCTAACCATATAAATTATGTAACCTAACTATCAAAGATCAAAGAGAATTTTGGAATCCCTAAATTGTGACCTAATTTTTTCAGAGATTTCAAGCTTCAAATTCTCTTAGCACAAGTAATATAAATGCAAAGTAAGGATATGTACATCTTCGTTACGATGAGAACTACATTTTTCCTTCACAAATTGTGGCTTGAGGTTGCCTGTATAAAGAGATAGAGTTTAAGAAAATACCTCCTTCAGTTGGAATCGTGTATGGCAATGTAGGGACTTTAATGGAGGCCTGATGATTGCTTGAGCTTCCCTGAATCTATTCCAACCCTTATCTTGCTCTGAGGATGGCTGGAACTCTCTGACCAAGTCCAACTGCAAGCTTCCAAGTTGAAAATGGAAGATGGTGAAACAGAGGTTACAGAACCAGAGTGATGGCTTGGATTGAATAGGTATCAAGTGTATAATATGTTTGAATCAGTTAAACACAAAACGCACGAGTCAAATGAGAGTTGGCTGAGCTTTTGCAGAAACTGTGTGCTTGGGCAGATTTTTAGTGTTTTTCAGTTTTAGAGAGTTCTAGGTTCAAGCCAAGCGTGTAATGCCTTGTACAATATTTGCATATTAGTATAGAAGTGATCCAAAGTCAGCTTCCTACTAGCTGTGCAAGCTTTAGCCCTTTTGCAACTTTTCTTGTACTTGAAGTAAAGTTGACAAGACCAATCTCACATGCTTGTACCAGCTTGCTTTAGGGTTGATATGAATTTGTACAAACTGCTTGAGACCTGTATAGTTTTCTTGTATCAAGGGGACGGGTCCAATGCTCCAAGTTGACAAAGTTGCAAAAGTGCATCTTTATGAAAATGGCAATGAAGTCTTTTTGCCCAAAATGGAATTACAACTTGTGTAAAGTTTCAAAAGCAAGAATAAAGGCTTTGTCAACTGAGTATGCATTTAATTAAGGAGTGTGTAACAATATTAGGACCTGTAAAGCATGAGATAGCCAACATAGGTTTGGTTTGCAACTTGGTTCTATGTGAAAATGGCTTGAACAAAAAGTGAGAAAATGCCAACTTCCTCTCTTCGATTCTCCCTACTCAGAAATGATCTTGGAGAGTTATTTGACATTTTGGAAAGCTTGCAATGTGATATATAATCCATCTTTGAAATGAATTTTGAGATACCTCTTGGAACTAGGTGAAAAGTTGGGTCCAAAACCTACCTAAATTAGGGCAAAATTTCACTAAGTTATTTAGTTCATGAGCATGTATTCACAAATTTATAACTTGAGATCCAAGCATCTTTAGGGAAAAGTTTGTGAAGAAAAGTTGTAGATTTCATGAAGGACTACAACTTTCATGTTTGGAACTTTTCTTGAATCAAAATGCATCATGGTGAAAATGTGGTGCAAAATTGAGAAAAAATAAGAAAATTTTTATACTTAGAAAAATTCTAAGTTATGAAAATTTTCAAATTAAAACCCTAATTTTCAAATTTAGTTTTCTTGGTGAACAAGTTTCACATTTTGACATATATTGATGAATTATGACCCTTGGCACTTGATTTTGACCAAAAAGTCAAAGTTTGACTTTTCAGTGCATAATTGACTTTTGATCAGTTGACTGCAAATTTCATATGTCAATCCAATGAACTTGAGATCTTCTGAACCATGTAATTAGGTCAAGATGATTCCATTGAACCCTTGAAATCATTCTTGAACTTAATTGGTCATTGGCTAGGTTAAAAATCAGAAATTGCCCTTTCTTAGTCAAAACCCTAATTTTGACCATTTTGCCCTTTTGATGATTTGATCAAATTTCTTGAGGTGTTGTGATCCAAACTTGATCAAATGGTACATATGAGTCTAAAATGTTGATT